ATGAAGGACCACATTCGATGAGCTTTAGTGGCAGAGTAGTAATTTTAACACAAACCTTAATATTTCCCTGAATTTAATGTAGTTTAGTGTAACAAAACCAACCATGGTGTTTTGATATACCAGCTCATAAAGACTACAATCCTGCCAAAAGTGTAAAATCAAAAATTGCATTTGTGAGCAGTATTTGTCCATAGCTAGTGGCGCACTGGCCATCAGGTGTACTGGGACAAAATCTGATTAGCTGGTTTACTGCCAAAAAGTCCATAAAGGCCTGCCTGTCCCTTACTGATCCTCTTTATCCGCCTGCCGTTTGGGTTGTGCATGAGAGCATATTGTTTTCTGAATTTCTTTCCCAATACGTCCCCGTTTAAAAAGGCTGTGTTGGAAGACCGCAGTTAAAGAATGTGGCAATCTGGACAGAAAGGAATATCACAAGTTATTAAAAAGACAGTGATATAAAAAAGTATTTTTGCCTTTTCTAATTTTCTTCATACGTTTCAGATCATCAAACAGTCTTTAATGTTAGACTAATATAAAAAAATTAATTATAAAATGCAGATTTGAAAAGATGAATTAATTCACCAAAACTCATCAAAACCTACCTTGACCTATGTGGAAAAAGTAATTTAGCCCTAAACCTAATAAGTGGTTTTGCCACTCTTGGTAGCAAGAACTGCAGTCACACTTGCTGCTGTGTCCTGCTGTATAACCCAATTGTAATTGAGCCTTAGGCCATTAACTGATGGGCGGACATACTCCTTCAGGAATTTCTGGTAGAGAACTCAAAGAAGGAATTCATGGTTCTCTCTATTACGGCAAGTCAACCAGGTCCTGAAGCAGCAAAGTAGCCCCAAACCATCACCCTACCACCACCATTTTGACAGTTGATATTGTTGTTCTTTTTATGAAATGCTGAGTTTTATGTTAGCAGTAGCAGGCTGCAAACACTGTTCCAGATTTTCTCCATTTGTGGACAGTTGCTAGTCATAAAGCCTTAGAAGTGGCTTAGTAACTCTTTTCAAAGTGATAGATATAAATGACTTTGTTGTATAGTATGTTGCTTTTTGGGATCTTTTAGACTACTTCACATTGTCTGACAGTGATTTCTTGATTTAACATGTCTGGTTGTGTGTGACTAGTAAAATTTAACTCAGCTTTCCAAAAAAAGAGGTTAAACACTTTTAATAACTGCATAATTACACATAGGACCAAATAGGTTTGGTCCTATGTGATCCAAAACATTTCAGTGTGACAAATATGCAAAAATAAGACATCAGGAAGGGGTAAATACTTTTTCACAGCACTCTAAAGTCTTGGATTGGATTAATTAAACTCTATGCTGTTCATTGATCTTTTATATGAAATGGCTGGATGAATGTTGTGATATTTTACTACTACTTTAAAAAATGGAACCATTTCGAGAGCTTTAGTTTTTCATTTAGCAAGGCCACACTGAAAGCTACTCTTTGACAGAATCTTGATGGTGCATCACTCCTTGAGTCAGTCTCAAGACTATAATATCAACCAATGAATTATTAAACGTTAAGTGATAAAATTTGAATGGCCTAGACAGGGTGGCCATTACACATTTTTCCAGGGTTATCCCTTTGTACAGGTCAACAAAAAGCACTTATTCTGGGAGCACTTCAATGCAACGGTTATAGAAGCCATCCTTGGCAAAATCTCACAAATGTATACAATCACTTAAAATGCACTTGCCTCTATTTTATTTATTATACTAGGCAGCATAAAGATCACATCGAAATACTAATTACCCACTGTGACTGATCTGATGAGGAAATTTCAATATTGAAAATAAGGGGTTTTAAACTTCAGTGCTACTCAAGGAAAGCAGCATCAGAAATGTATATCCTAAACTGCTATGCACCAGCAAAAAGCTGCTGTAGCCCTGTCTGAACGTCTCTGTTTGTTCTGCAGTGCAATCTGTCCCACCAGCTGTAGAGAAGCCAGGATAAAAATGCCTTAGTTGAGGATGATGAAAGATTTGTCCTAATATTGGGAGAAAACAGAAAGCCAGTTGTCAGATTCTCAGTGGAATTCATGACACTGATCAGCGCATGTGTAACTAATCACATGTATGCTACTGCTTTGTCTTTTCAATGCTGACTGAGACTTCAGCTGTTTGAAAGGAGATGCACTGATAACAGTCATATTGTATAATTTACTTAATGCAACCAAGGGAGGGATGGAGAGATGGATAGATGGATGGAGAGAGGGATGGAGGGAGAGAGAGAGAGATAGATAGATAGATGGATAAAATACAATGTGCCATGGTTATAGTGCTGCAGCCTCACAGCAAAGGTGTCTCTGCAAAATAAAGCAACATATCAGACAAGTTTGAGTTATTGGAACGATTTAAAAACCCACAAGCTGGAAAGGAAGTGGCGTTTCACTAATTTATAGGAAATTTACCTAGCCTGGAAAGAGTTGATTAATTTATTTTTTTTAAAATGCCCACTGTGAGGCTCATACTAGCTACTATTCATCATTGATAGAAGAAAAGAAAAACGACCCAAGGTTCATAGCCACTCTGACAAAGAGCCATAGCTCTGTTGAACCTTGTATGTTCTTTTCCGTGGTAATGATTTTGTTAACTTCTTTACAAATAAAGTTTTACTCATACTCGCAAAGGCATCATCAAGTACAGCAGCTTTATAAACTGCAAATTTTAATTTAAACTCATTCACTCCTATTGATCTCTCTCAGCATCACCATGTCTACAAACCGCATCTGTAAAAGACTGTTCAGATAACTCAGATAAATTAATGGTTCATTTTTAAATATGATCAATTTATTTTAGATTATGTCTTGATGCATGCTCAATCATCCAGGAAAGTAAATCTCCAAAAGTTGATTCTGTTCATCTACAGTGGGGCAAAAAAGTATTTAGTCAGCCACCGATTGTGCAAGTTCCCCCACTTAAAATGATGACAGAGGTCAGTAATTTGCACCAGAGGTACACTTCAACTGTGAGAGACAGAATGTGAAAAAAAAATCCATGAATCCACATGGTAGGATTTGTAAAGAATTTATTCGTAAATTAGGGTGGAAAATAAGTATTTGGTCACCTCAAACAAGGAAAATCTCTGGCTCTCACAGACCTGTAACATCTTCTGTAAGAAGCTTTTCTGTCCCCCACTCGTTACCTGTATGAATGGCACCTGTTTGAACTCATCATCTGTATAAAAGACACCTGTCCGCAGCCTCAAACAGTCAGACTCCAAACTCCGCCATGGCCAAGACCAAAGAGCTTTCGAAGGACACCAGGAAAAGTATTGTAGACCTGCACCAGACTGGGAAGAGTGAATCTACAATAGGCAAGCAGCTTGGTGTGAAAAGCCAACTGTGGGAGCAATCATCAGAAAATGGAAGACATACAAGACCACTGATAATCTCCCTCGATCTGGGGCTCCACGCAAGATCTCATCCCGTGGGGTCAAAATGATCATGAGAACGGTGAGCAAAGATCCCAGAACCACACGGGGGGACCTGGTGAATGACCTGCAGAGAGCTGGGACCAAAGTAACAAAGGTCACCATCAGTAACACACTACAACGGCAGGGAATCAAATCCCGCAGTGCCAGACGTGTTCCGCTGCTGAAGCCAGTGCATGTCCAGGCCCGTCTGAAGTTTGCCAGAGAGCACATGGATGATACAGCAGAGGATTGGGAGAATGTCATGTGGTCAGATGAAACCAAAGTAGAACTTTTTGGTATAAACTCAACTCGTCGTGTTTGGAGGAAGAAGAATACTGAGTTGCATCCCAAGAACACCATACCTACTGTGAAGCATGGGGGTGGAAACATCATGCTATAGGGCTGTTTTTCTGCCAAGGGGACAGGACGACTGATCCGTGTTAAGGACAGAATGAATGGGGCCATGTATCGTGAGATTTCGAGCCAAAACCTCCTTCCATCAGTGAGAACTTTGAAGATGAAACGAGGCTGGGTCTTCCAACATGACAATGATCCAAAACACACCGCCCGGGCAACAAAGGAGTGGCTCCGTAAGAAGCATTTGAAAGTCCTGGAGTGGCCTAGCCAGTCTCCAGACCTCAACCCCATAGAAAATCTGTGGCGGGAGTTGAAAGTCCGTGTTGCTCGGCGACAGCCCCAAAACATCACTGCTCTCGAGAAGATCTGCATGGAGGAATGGGCCAAAATACCAGCTACTGTGTGTGCAAACCTGGTAAAGACCTATAGTAAACGTTTGACCTCTGTTATTGCCAACAAAGGTTATGTTACAAAGTATTGAGTTGTATTTCTGTTATTGACCAAATACTTATTTTCCACCCTGATTTACGAATAAATTCTTTACAAATCCTACCATGTAGATTCATGGATTTTTTTTTCACATTCTGTCTCTCACAGTTGAAGTGTACCTCTGGTGCAATTTACTGACCTCTGTCATCATTTTAAGTGGGGGAACTTGCACAATCGGTGGCTGACTAAATACTTTTTTGCCCCACTGTAGACGTAGCGTTTTGTGGGAGAAACGTTTCGTCACTCATCCAAGTGACTTCTTCAGTCTCAGCTGACTGCAGGTTTCCCCAATCTTATAAACAGTACATTTGCATAATGACTGAAACCAGCCCACTGAAGGAACAATGGGCTGGGAGGTCAGTTCCTTAATCTTAATTGTGCAAATTCTCATGACCATTGATCAACAACCACTGACCAAAACCCACTGATCAAAGACCACTGATCAATGGCCATGAGTACCATTCAGAGAGAGTTGGGGAATGGCTGCAACCACAGCATTGTAAGATGGCGAAAGATGTACCCTTAGGCCCCCTCCTCGATTCAGAGATGGTCTTTCCCTTTTCACGTAAATGGCCTCCTTGACTCTGCGCTCAAACCAACGTTCCTCCCTGTCCAGGATGTGTACATCCTCCTCATTGAAAGAGTGTCCACTGGCCTGTAGGTGTAAATAGACTGCAGAGTCCTGGCCTGACGAGGTAGCTCTTCTGTGTTGTGCCATCCGCTTAGCCAGAGGTGGTTTGGTTTCCCCGATGTATAAATCCTCTACTGTTCAGCTGGCTCACAGCTAGGGGTCCTGAGACAGATGCCCTCTGTCCATTGAAGATGAGGCTTTAAACTTTCTTTTGGTTCCCTTTTTCTATAGTTAGGGCTAGATCAGGTGACCCTGAACTCACCCTTGGAGATTTGGGATCATCCACTGTGAGCTTCTCTTTTAGTTCCCACTTTTTATACCTGAATATTATTGATATGACAGTATTACATATCATTAATTGTCGAATTTCTCCTGCTGTTTATATGTTGTCTTTTTTGTTGTTGTTGCTGTGGTTGTCTCCATATGCTATTATTTTCTAGCTCCACTTTCCCCTTGACAACCAAGCCATTCACATAGAAAACTGATTATAAAGAATATTTTAATTATGTTCTCTCTCTAATGGTGTAAAGTCTTTTCCTTTCAGTATAAAGCATCTTGAGACGGCTACAGGCATGAACTGGTGTTAAATATATACAACTGAAGTATTGAATTGTAATCTGGAAGTAAAACAGTAGTGAATATGGCAATTACTGCACAATCAACATGACAGAAATAAATCTAGGTACAATATTTGCCTGAAAAGAATTAGGTTTTACATCGTGTAACATTTAGTTTGGTACATCTCTAATAAATGAAGAGATCAGGGTGATAGATAAATATCTGCCACTGTGCATGTTTGTTTTTCTCTGTACGGCAGGAGAATGTAGCTGTCATGAGGGTTATTCCCCTGATCCCGTTCATAAGCATCTCTGTGTGCGCAGCGACTGGAGTCGCAACGAAGGGTAAGTTGTGTTGTGTGTAGTTATTCCACTAATATATAGAGATTCACTTGTACTTTACAACCTTACGCATGACTTCAGAGCCGGTAGTACAACCACATCATTGCACTATATTAACTTTATCTAAAATAAAGGTGAGCTGTTCACTGTGATGGATTTGCAGTTCTCTGCAGGATGATCATCTCAGTATTAAAATGAAAAGAAACTTAGAACGCTTCCTACATGGTTTGGAAAATAGCAGTTTGTAGTTAATATGATAAAACATACACTTCTACCAATACAGGCTTGAAGAAGTAGTCTTTTTAAAGGGAATCGGGTGTATAGGTTGAAGAAATTAGAAATGAGAATCGACGTTATTGACAAAAAAACAAAAAAACAGGAGTGGAGGGCTGAGATGAAATGCATGAATGGGAAAGAAGTAAAGTCACTGAAGAGTGCTTGACAGGCACTGAAATGATCCCTCTGACTCTGACCTTGTTTGACACTTAGCTGGCCTAACCCATCATTGGTCTCACATTGTTACTCACCAGCACCTGTCATCCCCTGGATTCAGTCCAGTAACCAATCAAATGCCCATTGCTTTTTCTTTTTTTAAGAGTAGCAGCAGACACAGTATAGTCTTGTACAGCAGACAGAAATGTTAATTAAATGACAGTTTTTCAGTTTTTGTATTCAGATATGTTTTATACATAATATTATATACACTTTGAAGTACTTAAAATGCTGAACTAAAAGGCTTTGTGCATGAAAAACAACAATATAAATGAGAAGACTTGATGGAATTACATAAAAACATCTGTTAGATTATTTTAAAAATGCTGATAAATCACTGTCTTTGATCATGCATTCCTTTATCGTCTTTCCCCTGTCAAGTCCATGGCCATATGCTAACTTGGAGAAAGGGTATGACCTAGTTACAGGAGAACAGGCCCCGGAGAGAATCTTCAGGTAAGACCCTTCTGGTGCACCTCCTCAGCGCTTGACTTGTGCTGGCCATCTGTGGACTCTGTGGACACACAATGGAATGAAAGTGGCATTTCTTGTGTCATCTTGTATGTGTGTGCATGAGTGTGACAGAGCATGGAGATGAGCACCTGACAGATGCACATAGACAAAGGCAAATGGACACACAAGTACACCCCATGGTGGATCTCTCTGAGTGTGTAGAGAATAGCCCAAGGACCGGGCCTGATTGGATTCCTTTAAAATACTTTTACTGGCATTTTTGTTACACTTCTCATCCTTGATGGTGTCATTGTGTTATTTCTTTTTTTCCCCAAGAAGTGTAAAAATGAAAATCTCAGGGTAAACCTGATTATAGAGATTTAAAAGAAAAATCTGGTCAATGTGGTCAATTTTCCCTTTAGTTTTGCTTAACTGTGTAACTAAAGCATGGAATGTTTAAACTTTTGATTTTGTGAAATCTTTCTCGATTTCATGCTCTCTACCCTTCCAATACGTAGGTAGGAACAGCTCTTTGTCACAGTTATCTCACTCCTTATCACAATGACCTTGCAGCGTTTGCCAGCCACTGTGAGTCCACTGTAAGAAATGAGGCGCTAAAGGCAAAATACCAAGCAAAACCCTGTTTCAAGTTGGAGATAGGACTCGGGCATCACTAGCACACAAAAGCAGCAACTAAACTTTTATAGATTAAGCACTGTGTCAGCCGAGAGTCTGCGAGAGAAGAAAGACGAAGGACACCACATACACATACAGCTGCAGAACACAAATAGATTCAGCCGTGAACATGTTGATACAGATAGTCAACAAAGTGAGTAAAGATGAAGCAGTTTTCTAGCAATGCTGTTCTGGGGAGGAGGAGAAAAGACTCTAATGCTCTTCAGCTGGACAGTCTTATGACAGTGAATAGACGAGCTAAACCAAGTGCTTTCACAGATGGGGAGTTTTATAGGAAACCAGGGTTGCTGCTTACATTTTCCTTGAAAAGGAACAATGAAAAAATAAGCACCTTGTGATATGAAGACATGAGGGCCCCATAACAAATGTCTTTAAGAACTGAAATTTGTTATTTTAGTCAATATATTGACAGCTGTGTTTTGTACAAGTTGATGGTTTTCCATGTTAATGTTTGGAACTATGATCCATATGAAAGAAAAGTATGGAAATAGTAAATGGACAGGTTCTTATGTAGTGCTTTTCTACTCTACTGGAACATTCAAAGCGCTTTAATCAATTTACCTCATTTTCCCATATTAATACAAGCACTTTTGTTCTGTGCCAAAGTGCAATCTGTCTGACGTTCACACACGTTCACACACGTTCACACTGATGAACACATTAGAGACCACCTTTTTTCAATGCCAAAGGATACTTTGGCATGCAAACTGGAACAGATAGGGATCAAACCACCAATCTTCCAATTGGTAGATGACCTGCTCTACGCCCTAAGTTACAGCCGCCCAGACCTTGTACCCATTCATGTTTGCCAGGTTGTAAGGGTTGTAGGTCAGCAATATTTAACTGGGAATAAAGTTAAATAAAGTAAAGATGGTGGCGAATGATGAAGAAATTCAATAATATATTTTATGCGAAGTAAAACGAGAGATTGATAGCAAATACATAATGCGAACCTTCTTGACAGGCCCTGTTTTTCTGGGATTTTGTGGCCTACAGTACCTGTCCAGATGCATTTGAGTGCATTATGCAAAGCTAAAATGTGCTCTGCTATTATCATATCTGATGTTGTGTTTTCCCCGGAAACATGTCTGCAGGGTTGCCTGTTATGGCTATTAATCTTCACTCATAAGAAAGGTCTCTGGCAAAATCAGATTATATTCATAACACCCTGACCAGGTCATATAAACTGCATTCATAAGCAATGAACTGGACTTACATTGAAGGAGGAGAAAATATGTTAAGCAGTGTTGAAACAGTATTATCACTATAAGCTTGAACTTATTTTCTTGTTCACTAAAAAGGTTTACTTGACTATAGCATATAGTCACACATAGTCTTCATAGTTAACTTTCTTCTTACAATAATTATTTAAAAAAGGAAAAGAAAATTACAAGACTTTTTTTAATATGTGTTCAAATATCTTTATATGTTTTATTCTTCTATTCTATCACATAATAAATGATGCAAATAACTGAGAAATTGCCCATGATCCGTATTAAACATACTTCAAATTCTACATGTGAGACCCTCACCACACATCTCATATTTTAAACATATGTTTTTCATTGTTGTTTCATTGTTTCATTGTTGTTTTCATAGAATCTTTTGTATGTTTTTCTATCTGCAAATACTGCTGTGTTTGCACACAGTGTGTGCTTTTGTGTAAAACAAATTGTGGTTATGTGATGGTAATGCAACTGGCATTTATGTCTTGTGATCATGCCAACACAGATCATTCTACAGTCTGGGCCAAGGGCTGTGGCTGCCTGTCAGCAAAAGCTTTGTTGTGCCACCGGTGGAACTGTCAATCAACCCCATTGCCAGCTGTAAGACAGACGTGTTGGTTACGGAAGATCCAGGGGAGATCAGGTCAGTCTGACTCAATAACAAGTTGTGTCCAGCAACTGAAACAACCGGGCGCACTACCAAAAATGTACAGCTGGAAGATATTAAGAATGCTTTGGAGCCACAGCATTTTTTTCAGACCGATACGTTTTGGTTTACTTGACATGAAGTATCCACGTAGGTACTTTTGTTGCAAATCCCCTGGTTGACTGATGAAACAATTCTGCACTCATTTTACATTTTCACTTGTTTCTTCACTTTTTCCCAAAACACTTGCATTTCTATTCGGCTCCCGCGTCTCTCTGTGTACCTGGCCTGTACCGCTATACTCGCTGTCTTTGGAATATCCCCTTCCTTCTTTCAAATGATCTAAACATGTAAAGTACAGTTCAAGTACGACACACCTAAATTAAGCATACAGTATGTACAGTGGGGCAAAAAAGTATTTAGTCAGCCACCGATTGTGCAAGTTCCCCCACCTAAAATGATGACAGAGGTCAGTAATTTGCACCAGAGGTACACTTCAACTGTGAGAGACAGAATGTGAAAAAAAAATCCATGAATCCACATGGTAGGATTTGTAAAGAATTTATTCGTAAATCAGGGTGGAAAATAAGTATTTGGTCAATAACAAAAATACAACTCAATACTTTGTAACATAACCTTTGTTGGCAATAACAGAGGTCAAACGTTTACTATAGGTCTTTACCAGGTTTGCACAAACAGTAGCTGGTATTTTGGCCCATTCCTCCATGCAGATCTTCTCGAGAGCAGTGATGTTTTGCGGCTGTCGCCAAGCAACACGGACTTTCAACTCCCGCCACAGATTTTCTATGGGGTTGAGGTCTGGAGACTGGCTAGGCCACTCCAGGACTTTCAAATGCTTCTTACGGAGCCACTCCTTTGTTGCCCGGGCGGTGTGTTTTGGATCATTGTCATGTTGGAAGACCCAGCCTCGTTTCATCTTCAAAGTTCTCACTGATGGAAGGAGGTTTTGGCTCAAAATCTCACGATACATGGCCCCATTCATTCTGTCCTTAACACGGATCAGTCGTCCTGTCCCCTTGGCAGAAAAACAGCCCCATAGCATGATGTTTCCACCCCCATGCTTCACAGTAGGTATGGTGTTCTTGGGATGCAACTCAGTATTCTTCTTCCTCCAAACACGACGAGTTGAGTTTATACCAAAAAGTTCTAATTTGGTTTCATCTGACCACATGACATTCTCCCAATCCTCTGCTGTATCATCCATGTGCTCTCTGGCAAACTTCAGACGGGCCTGGACATGCACTGGCTTCAGCAGCGGAACACATCTGGCACTGCGGGATTTGATTCCCTGCTGTTGTAGTGTGTTACTGATGGTGACCTTTGTTACTTTGGTCCCAGCTCTCTGCAGGTCATTCACCAGGTCTTGGTGGTTCTGGGATCTTTGCTCACCGTTCTCATGATCATTTTGACCCCACGGGATGAGATCTTGCGTGGAGCCCCAGATCGAGGGAGATTATCAGTGGTCTTGTATGTCTTCCATTTTCTGATGATTGCTCCCACAGTTGATTTTTTCACACCAAGCTGCTTGCCTATTGTAGATTCACTCTTCCCAGTCTGGTGCAGGTCTACAATACTTTTCCTGGTGTCCTTCGAAAGCTCTTTGGTCTTGGCCATGGCGGAGTTTGGAGTCTGACTGTTTGAGGCTGTGGACAGGTGTCTTTTATACAGATGATGAGTTCAAACTGGTGCCATTCATACAGGTAACGAGTGGGGGACAGAAAAGCTTCTTACAGAAGACGTTACAGGTCTGTGAGAGCCAGAGATTTTCCTTGTTTGAGGTGACCAAATACTTATTTTCCACCCTGATTTACGAATAAATTCTTTACAAATCCTACCATGTGAATTCATGGATTTTTTTTTCACATTCTGTCTCTCAGAGTTGAAGTGTACCTCTGGTGCAAATTACTGACCTCTGTCATCATTTTAAGTGGGGGAACTTGCACAATCGGTGGCTGACTAAATACTTTTTTGCCCCACTGTAGTTATATAGTATTGTTGAATTAATTCTCGATTACCTGTCACAGGCTGGCAAGCTGTCGAGGGTGGGACAGGTAGGTGGGATAGGCTCCAGCACCATCACCCTGAAATGGATAAGTGGGAGAGAATGGATGGTTGGATAATTCTTGAACACATTTGAACCCCTTCTGAGCTTCAATTTGCTTATCAAAATGAATTTAAATAAAATCAAATATCACATCTTTAGTATTCATGATCCCTTAGCCATTCAAAACATTTGAAGTAACATTTGTCACTTCACACACCGGGTTCTTATGCTTTTGACGATTGTGAAACTAAAATGTCTGCAGTTCACATTTTGGTTCCATCATCTCATAATATGACACCAATGTGGAACCTCTGATAAGTAGTTAAAGCATGCTAGGCTGGTGAAAATGTGTACGTCAGCTCAGGTTTCACTAACAACGTCACTCTGGCTTCTTGGCTAGCATTGTGTTAGTGTGCTGTCTGTGCAGATGCTTGCAAGTGCATATACATACATGTACACTTGAAAGGAAGCACACATGCATGATGCTAATTCTAACCTTAACCCTAACCCTCAAGGGAAAGTTATTCTTCGGTGGCTACAATTTACAAGTCTTTGTTACACAGCTTTGAAAAAGTATATCAGGGCAACTATGTAGGAAAGTTTGTTTGACTGACAAAATGATGTTTGTTGCCAGTGGTAAATGTTTTTATTTGAGCCATTTTAAATTATAAATGTATTAAAATTATTAATAAATTATTAAATTAAATGATTAAATTGTAAAACTTTACTCAGATTAAAATAGCTTATTTTCATTTTTACTGTGTATAGATAACGGGTCTACAAACTCAATTTGTTGTGGCAGTTCAGTTGCTCTGATAAGGTATCATGGCCAACTAAAAAAATTAGCTAATGCAGCAGAGTTCACTGCAAAAGGAAGTTTTTTTTGTTTGGTTGTTTTTTAATTATATAATTTCAGAAGCTTTACATTTGAATAATTGTTTTGTCTTATGCATGTGTATGACATCAATATTGTAAAAAGCCATTTAATCTTATAAAAAAAGTGTCTGATCACTCTAGCATTTCTTAAACTCCTATAGCCGTATCATATATTGTATGCTGAAAGTGTCACAGGTAACACTGCACCACAGAAATCAACCCATAAATGGAAAAAAACAACCTGATAAACATCAGAAAATGTTCACTTTATCTGACTGGTGGATTTTTTTCAACCATCTCTGCAGTTTTGTTTTTGATATCAAATTTTCAAGTAACTGTTTTGTAATACAAAAACTCTAAATTGGAGTAATTACAGAGTACAAATGTTATACATTGCTGCATAAATCTGTTTTTCACAGGCTTTATGAAATTGCCTCAGGTGCACAGAAATCCCAAGGCAATTGTACACATGCTTATTTTGACAGAAGTGGGAGCATGCTTCTCGATTAATTAGCCCAGGTTTTTCATTTACTTTGAAATACTGCTATAATCAGTGATGTGGGGTAAAAAAAAAGAGGATATTTTTGTAGAGCAAAAAATGTTTACAGCCATATTTCTGCCACATGCTGATCAGATCAGATTCTGAATATTCATAATTGAATCGTGAAAGATCAGCCTTTCCATTTAGCCAAGAGGAAAAGCAATTATTTTAAAGCAATTATCTCCTTTGTGCATTTTGTTTTTCTTGACTTAAGTGCCACTGTTACTGCATGATGAATAGATCTTGGTGGGTTAAGCACAATTTTAGTTGGAAATTGAACACTTCAGAGAGAGCAGGAGTTTAGCTTTTGTTTACTTTGCAGCACAGGGGTTCGATTTAGGTTAAGGTGTAATGTGACTTTATGAAAGTGCCATTTTCACATCCTGAAATTACACCTATAGCTGCTTTTCGAAAGCACATTCTGCCTCTCACTATGAAAGCTGTTGTTGTTAACTTCTAGATGTACTCTATTAGGCTATATCTAAGACATACAGTATTAAACATTAACCCTTACACATAGAATCACAACCATTTACACTCGCCATCCAACATTATTTTCCATGTTCCAAGACTAATTTTGAAATAACCCCTAGAATAATAAGTCGATGTTAGTTTATGACTAGTTTTCATAACCACTGGAAACTAAACAACCTGTCACACTGTCATGAATTATGCAGGCAGCTCATTATCCAAAACATTTTTGTGGGACAAAGTCCTATGGGAGCTTTTGGGGTTTCTTGCTGATGTTCTTTCCTTAAGTGCTTGTGAAGGCACTGATGTAGTCAGTTAGTCATGATAGACATGTTGATGTTGAAAGTGGTGAAAAGTAGTGTAGCTCTGACTTTTAAAAGTATGCGTCTCCATTTTCCATTTTACCACTGTCATTCAGCTCACAGACACTGTATATATGCATATACATATATGCAGTATATAGTGACAGTCATGGTAAGTGTCAACTTGAACTTACCTTTTCATGCTATAATATCCTAAATCACTTTAGGTGTCTTTCTCTTTTTTAAACCAGCTTATTATTTTTCTATTTCTTGTATTCCTTCATACAGTGACAAATAACTTTTGGATATCCTTGGGAGCGAGCATCGAAATCATAGAGTAATTCATTTTTGTTCCTTATGGGTAAGCAAATTAGGGCATGAATAGCAGTGCTGCCTCAGATAAGCAAAGTCAAGGCCAATCTTGGCCAGAGGTAATGGCATGTTCTTTTTTTCTGTGTGTATCTGTGTGGGTGGGAGTTTTGTTACTTTTTGTTATTATTATTATTTTACTCTCATTTTCTCATCACAAAAGTGGCAAAAATAGAGACAGTCTTTACTCAGATACTCTGTTAAGTTAAAGTGAATAGTACAGGCTCTTAAAAGTACTCTAAATAAGAAAGTAACAAGTATCTCTTTAAAGGACATTTCTACCAGCTATTTATTTGTTTTTACAAAGCTAGCCTGCATTTTAGGATAATATATTATCAGTAAAGTAATATTAGTAAATCAGAATACAAATGTT